CCCTAATCTGTCATCATGAAAGGGCCCTAATCTGTCTTCATTAAAGGGCCCTAATCTGTCGTCATTAAAGGGCCCTAATCTGTCGTCATTAAAGGGCCCTAATCTGTCATCATTAAAGGGAACTACTCTGTCATCATTAAAGGGCCCTAATCTGTCATCATTAAAGGGCCCTAATATGTCGTCATTAAGGGGCCCTAATCTGTTGTCATTAAAGGGTCCTAATCTGTCATAATTAAAGGGCCCTAATCTGTTATCATTAAAGGGCCCTAATCTGTCATCATTAAAGGGCCCTAATCTGTCATCATTAAAGGGCCCTAATCTGTCATCATTAAAGGGCCCTAATCTGTCATCATTAAAGGGTCCTACTCTGTCATCATTAAAGGGCCCTAATCTGTCATCATTAAAGGGCCCTAATCTGTCATAATAATAATCTGCTCTTTTCCAATACTTCTTTAACTGATAACAGTCGTTCAGAGATATTGGAATTTCTAAATTACTTTTCCAGCCTCTAAATCTTGTTATTGTTTTCATTTCGATGTCCCGCCCTCCACCGTTTCACCAATCAGAAAGTCTGTGATCCGGGCGCCAGAACTCACCGTGTGGAGCTAATCTCACTGGTAAAGTACCATGTGGCGCAGAACTAAAAAAGGTCTCGTTATGATTCTCAAACCATTAACGACAAAACAAGGAATAAAACCTTGTTTTCTGCATAAACTGTAGAGGGCCCAATACGTCACATGACAACACTCTCAACACAACACGGGCCACTGACTGAATCCAGAGATCGACTGTTTTTCTCTAGTTGTAAGAGCGATTTCAGCTGATCATCTCCATCATCTTCTCTCAGTCGCCAAAAGCCGCCTTGAAACTAGTCGTCTCCAGTTACTCTGTCCATGTGCGCTGGGCTTTAGACTGAACCAGCCGACTGGACAAACACACTTATATAAGAGCTTTGGAAACTGTCAAATATGAACCTGTTTTTTTTCCAGGACGGACGTCGGAGTACACAGAAAAATCAATGATCCATAGAGCACAGTCCTGAGTTAGATTTTACAGATCTATCTCGCAGTCGTTTGGAGCCGAAGCAGTTTGGGAGAGAAATGTTTACACAGAGAAGAGTCAGACGTGTTCCCAGGTCATTCTCTGACAGTGATTAAAGCCACAAACTTCTCATATTGTTGCCGCCAAAATGGCCACGACGGAGGCCAGAGCAAACTCCCAAACTCTGGAGCCTTCTACACTGCAAAAAATGAGAAAATGAGGTGATAAAAGCTTGAATTTAGTTTTTTCTCCTAATCTGACACATTGTGACTGTATTAAAATTAAGATTCCCCAATGGGACAAAGCCTTTTTTACTCATTCCAAGGGAGACATTTCTTGTATATTTTTAAAACCATATATTTTTTGTCCCGTCGGTGAATCTGGTTTTAACGCTCAGTCTGTCTCGGTTTAGGTTCATTTCCTGTTTTATTTTGTAGTTTGCTAAATCCCTGTGTGTCTGTGCTTGTACTTCCTGTTGTCCCTGTTCCTTCATTGTCCACGTCTGTTTCAGTTCTTCTTGTCCCAGGTTTGATCACTTTTTGTGGTGTTTTTGCTAGAGCTTGATTTGTATTACTTTTTATTAAACTGCATAAAATTATCTGCAGTCTTGCACTCAGAATGTGCTGAAATTCTCACAAATGTTTAGGAAAGAACCGCCTTCTCCACTTTTTGAACCAAACTCTCTGGTCTGATTGGACGAGCACGTATCACCAGAATGATTGACAGTTGGGAGGACCAATAGTCTTGATGATCCACCCGAAAGTAGATCACCCTCCTATATACATTATAGATACATTTAGCCAAATTTGAGACATTTTGGACCAATTTTTCATCTTTTTTCACCAGCGACAGTTGGACTTTCTGGATAAGTTCAAATCATATTTAAAAACCTAACTTTTTAAATTGGCTTATTCTTTGTAAACTTCAAATGTTTTCTATTCTGTAATTTTTATATTGTGTGTGATGTTTTTATTCTATTTTGAGGAGTCCTTGGGGGTCTTGAGAAGCGTCATGAAATAAAATAAATTATTAATTATTTACAGTATATTAGTCATGCGTCTGAGAGGACTTTATAACCGGTCAATATTAGCACCACTTCTAAACAGAAATTTAGACCTTTTTGGGACAGGATTTAGTACATTAAACTACTACTAAACTACTACTACTACTACTACTACTACTGCTGCTGCTGCTGCTGTCACATGCATACAACATGTTAAATAATAATGGAAGTTAAAGGAGCAGTGTGTAAACATGTGGCCAAAAGTGGTACTGCAGCCTCTCCCACTCTCCCTGACTCAGGTTGCCAGATATGCAGACGAATCCAGCTGGGACCATAACAGCTGAATAGAAAAGAGTTTTGTCAACAACAAATCTATAATCAACACCTTTTTCACAAAGATAGAAATCCTGGTTTTATTCCTTGTTTTGTCGTTAATGATTTGAGAATCATAACGAGACCTTTTTTAGTTCTGCGCCACATGGTACTTTACCAGTGAGATTAGCTCCACGCGGTGAGTTCTGGCGCCCGGATCACAGACTTTCTGATTGGTGAAACGGTGGAGGGCGGGACATCGAAATGAAAACAATAACAAGATTTAGAGGCTGGAAAAGTAATTTAGAAATTCAAATATCTCTGAACTACTGTTATCAGTTAAAGAAGTATTGGAAAAGAACAGTTTATTATTATGACAGATTAGGGCCCTTTAATGATGACTGATTAGGGCCCTTTGATGATGACAGATGAGGGCCCTTTAATGATGACAGATTAGAGCCCTTTAATGATGACAGATTAGGGCCCTTTAATGATGACAGATTAGGGCCCTTTAATGATGACAGAGTAGGGCCCTTTAATGATGACAGATTAGGGCCCTTTAATGATGACAGATTAGGGCCCTTTAATGATGACAGAGTAGGGCCCTTTAATGATGACAGATTAGGGCCCTTTAATGATGACATATTAGGGCCCTTTGATGATGACAGATGAGGGCCCTTTAATGATGACAGATTAGGGCCCTTTAATGATGACAGATTAGGGCCCTTTAATGATGACAGAGTAGGGCCCTTTGATGACGACAGATGAGGGCCCTTTAATGATGACAGATTAGGGCCCTTTAATGATGACAGATTAGGGCCCTTTAATGATGACAGATTAGGGCCCTTTAATGATGACAGAGTAGGGCCCTTTAATGATGACAGATTAGGGCCCTTTGATGATGACAGATGAGGGCCCTTTAATGATGACAGATTAGGGCCCTTTAATGATGACATATTAGGGCCCTTTAATGATGACAGATTAGGGCCCTTTAATGATGACAGATTAGGACCCTTTAATGATGACTCATTATGAATCTCTTACATATTGTTACTTTAATAATGTAAATGACCATGAAAATACGTAAATAATCATGAATTAGTTGAAACCACAGCAGACAGACTCTGCCTCATGTTTACTCTGAGATCCTTCAGACTTGGTCAAATCAGAGAAAGAAACGTGCATTTGTTGGATACATGTTATGGTTGGAGCAGGACATCCACGTGTTGTTCAGTGTGTGTCTGCTGCCCCCTGGTGGAAGAGAACAGGAGGTGCACAGTATTTATCAAAGTATCACTGAAGGAAGGATTTAGCTTTGGTAAAAAATGTGAAATGTGAAAAGTATTTTCTGTTGTAATGTTGATAGAGTAAGGAATATACTGTGATGCTATTATTACTACTACTGCTACTTTTACTACTACTACTATTACTATTACTACTATGACTACTATTACTATATTTTTTAACCATTTTTGTTTATAATGATTTATGTGAAAGTGTTCAAAATAAATAATTACTATACAAGTAGTACTACCACTACTACTTACTACTACTACCACTACTGCTGCTACTAGGGTGACCACCTGCTAATAAGCCCAAGGGGGGGACAAGGGGTATGTTTCCGAGGGACAATGTGGGAGACTGCTTGGTGCGGCGGTGCCCCCACCCCACGGGCAGACTCACTGCCCTGTTTCTAGCCCATACCACCTTACATGGTATATTAATAATGCCCTATTCCCCTAAACATGCGTAATTGCTGATTTATGCTCATGAATAGGGCAACCAATGTGTATTTTCTTCTAAATAAAGATTCATAATATTTTGAACATTGAATTGAATGAATTGACAGATGCATTTCCACTTACGTTTTACTTAAGCTATCTAATTTTATTTATTTTTCATAACAATTTATTCACTTGAATTATAATGAATTATAACATGAATTGATAGGATTAACAGGAATTGTAGTTGCTCAACACAACAGGAACAGTTGAAAAAAAAGTCTTAACGCACAACTCCAGAGGTTCACGGAACGAGAAGGGGGAGGAAGGATGGTGAACTTGCATGTTAGTAAAGGCAGGCACAGCCGTGCAGAGGGAAAAAACTGTTCAGTGTTCTAGGGACACCTTTATACTTTGGGGACATCTTTGGGACTTAAACCTTTTCACCAGCATCTGAATCAAATAAGGAAGAAAGATAAGAGACAGAATTAAAGCAACATTCATTTTATGATAAGCTTCCGAATGGAGATACAATCCTATAGAAAACAATGACATATTAACCTAAAAGGCTACTGTTTCCAAAAAGTGACACATTTGCACCCCTGTAGACAGTCCACCAATGTTCAAAATCAATCAAACTTCATGGGGTCTTACATAACTAGGTTTTTTACCTTCAGGTTTCTTCTTAAACTTGTATTTCTTGTTGGAGCGTAGAGCATTGAGGAGAACCTTCTCTTTCACTACGTAAGTGTAGAAGTCCTTGCAACTGAATGTGAAGTTGCTCTTCACCTGGATTTCTGACTTGATGAGGTTTACCGAACATCTGTTCCTTGTGTCCGTCCAGCATCCTGTCATCAGTGAAAATACCCTCTCCACTGAAGCATTGGTGATTGGTACACTCAAGAGGAAAGAAGCAAAAGCTCTCATGTTTGGTGTGTGTGTGTGTGCTTGAGTAAGGTGGACCACTTCTCCACCACTGGAGCTCCAGACTGCACAATGGCCTGTTGGTGTGGCAGAACAACACAATACTATATCATATAGCGCATCCATGTCCATCTTCTTGCTTAGTTGCTGGACCTCTACAGCTTCACAGAGATGGGAGAAGTTGAATGGGCTCTTTAGTGCCAGGCTAGCCACTTTCTTCTGGTAGTTGGAGTCTGAGAAGTCATAGCGCTGCTCCAAGTAGGTGAGAGAGGACTGGTAGAAGTTGCACATGTCCTCTCTGAGCACAGCTGCCTGTCTGTCTGGGAAACTGCTGGAGGAGTACACCCGTCTGGGCTCCAAAGAAACCATCACTCTGTCGTTGCTGTAGCTTGGTTTTTAGGGTGAACATCATATCGTAGAGCTCACAGACAGTACCATCTTCTCGCTCCAGCACCAGCACAGTGCCGTGGAAAATCTTGAGCGCATTGCTGAGGAAGGACAGGTAAACCTAAAAGAAGTAAGGAGAGTCAATGATCCTGTGTGCTGGCACTGGTTGCATTATCATAATTTCTCTAATCCATATTCCATGTAATAATATGTAGATTAAAAAAAGTTGAGTGCAATTAAAATTAAGTACCTGTAGATCAAGGGGGTTGCCCTCACCATCCTGGTCATCCTTGAACAGCCGCCATAGTGACTTTGGGCACTGGTCCTCTCCCAGTGAGAGAAAGTATGTCTTGATAGGAGCCCAGCTGTCGTGAAGCCTCTTAACTGCAGGCCACAAGCTCAGCCATCTTGTGGGCACATGTCTAAGCAGGGACTGGTACTCTATCTCCACAAAGGTGTGAACTGACTTAAGCTCCTCAATGCGTTTCGCAGATGAGGAGAAGTGGCTAAAGGTCTTGTTGACAACATTTTCAATGTCGATATTTAGCCGATCTCCTGCGTGTTTTGCACTGTTGTGAACAATGTGGGCCACACAGTTTGCTTTCAAAATGCAATTGTTGTTCTCTTTCAGTTTCTGGAAGACCGAGTTGTATCTCCCGTAATTCACACTAGCGTTGTCAGCGGAATACGCAGATATCATGTGTTCCTCCAACTTGGTGACTATCTGGTTGTGGATCGCAGCAGATGTTTCATCACTGTCATCATAGAAATCAAGGACCTTCGTCTGTGCTCCCAAGTCTGGCATCCAGTAACACACTGACAGTGGAAAGAGCTTGGTGGTCCCATGATTGGAGGCATCTGAAGCCACTGAGAAGAATGGCGTGTGGGCTATGGACACACACACAGATGGAATGAACTTAAGAAAGATTTTCTAAAAACAGATTATTAAAAATACAAGATACCACTTTACTGTTTTGATTATTATTGATTTTATATATATATATATATATATATATATATATATATATATATATATATATATATATATATATACATATATATATATATATATATATATATAAATTTGCTTTTATTTGTTTAGTTAACGAATAGTGAAATGTTGCTCATAATCATGTAAGGGCGACGGTGGCGCAGAGAGTAGAGCGGGTCGTCTTGTGACCAAAGGGTCGGCGGTTTGAATCCTGCAGGTGCCCACTGTCGTTGTGTCCTTGGGCAAGACACTTCACCCACCTTGCCTCCAGTGTCTGCGTACACTGGTGTATGAATGAGTGTGAATGGGTGACTGGTTCCCTGGATAAAAATGTGACCATTTACCATTTAAGGATACAGAGCCTGGTTTCACAAAGTGAAACTGAAGGTAAAATTGGCTTTTAACATAGAAGATGATTAGCTAACATTAGCTAGTTAATGTTAGACAAATAGCTAACACACAACAATGTGCATGAACATAACGTTTACTTTACCTTTGTTTGTGGCCTCTCGTTGCTCATTCAGTGGTCTTTTGAGGACTTTCAAGCAATCTTCGACAGAGGCAGGAGCAAGCACATCCGTGACAATGGCTTCTGCCTTCGTCCGACCACAGGCCATCCTCTTGGCAATGTCCGAGTCCGGATAAATCGTTGGGGCTAGCTTTGTGCCACAATCTCCTGCTCTATATGATGCAGCGTGTTGGACAGTGTGATTCACATTCGTCACCTCTGCAGCAGTCACTTTGTCTGCTAGAAAGTCGTTTTTAGGTTGGAGAAAAGCATCCATAGATTTGGATGTCTCTTTCTGTTGGATACGTTTCTTGTGAGTCCCCGTGAGTCTGTGTTGTTTGACATTGTATTCCCCTCCATGTCCGATGGAAAAGGACGTTTTACAAAAGTCACAAAAAGCCCTCTCAGTATCCCCCTCAACACATTTCAGCCACAAATATTCATTTTCCCAGTCTTTGTTGTACCCACACCTTCTCTTTTTAATTGATGATGGCGCTCCCTCAGACTGAGTCTCTTTCTCCATTTTTCTAATTGGAAAGCGGCGAGCGCGCGCATCCCAGTGTGTCTAGTATGCACGTGGGTGCGCTGTCATGACAACAAAAAAGTTGACAACAACTTAGTCAGAAGTTTAACTGAGGGGTGGGTGGGGCAGTAGGGTGTTGAACTGTCAAGTAATGTTTGTTTGGCTGCCTGCGGCTCGAGGATATAGCGAGACCAATTTTTTTGTTGTTGTTGCAAGCATTGATTAATGATTATGCGTGACACGGTCTCAATTTGCGGGACGCATGAATTGGGCTTCAAACGCTGTGCGCGCACGCGCTACGCGGGACGGGTGGTCACCTTACTGCTACTACTAAACAACTACAACTACTACCACTATTACTACTACTACTATATTTTGAACCATATGAACCAGAGTGTGAGAGCGATCCATGGTGTGAGAGAGATCCATGGTGAGAGAGATCCATGGTGAGAGAGCGATCCATGGTGAGAGAGCGATCCATGGTGAGAGAGCGATCCATGGTGAGAGAGCGATCCATGGTGAGAGAGCGATCCATGGTGAGAGAGCGATCCATGGTGAGAGCGATCCATGGTGAGAGAGAGATCCATGGTGAGAGCGATCCATGGTGAGAGAGCGATCCATGGTGAGAGCAATCCATGGTGAGAGCAATCCATGGTGAGAGAGCGATCCATGGTGAGAGAGCGATCCATGGTGAGAGCAATCCATGGTGAGAGCAATCCATGGTGAGAGAGCGATCCATGGTGAGAGAGCGATCCATGGTGAGAGAGCGATCCATGGTGAGAGAGCGATCCATGGTGAGAGCAATCCATGGTGAGAGAGCGATCCATGGTGAGAGCGATCCATGGTGAGAGAGCGATCCATGGTGAGAGCGATCCATGGTGAGAGAGCGATCCATGGTGAGAGCAATCCATGGTGAGAGAGCGATCCATGGTGAGAGCGATCCATGGTGAGAGAGCGATCCATGGTGAGAGCGATCCATGGTGAGAGAGCGATCCATGGTGAGAGCGATCCATGGTGAGAGAGATCCATGGTGAGAGAGCGATCCATGGTGAGAGAGCGATCCATGGTGAGAGAGCGATCCATGGTGAGAGAGCGATCCATGGAGAGAGAGCGATCCATGGTGAGAGAGCGATCCATGGTGAGAGCGATCCATGGTGAGAGAGCGATCCATGGTGAGAGCGATCCATGGTGAGAGAGCGATCCATGGTGAGAGCGATCCATGGTGAGAGAGCGATCCATGGTGAGAGCGATCCATGGTGAGAGAGCGATCCATGGTGAGAGAGCGATCCACGGTGAGAGAGCGATCCATGGTGAGTGCGATCCATGGTGAGAGCGATCCATGGTGAGAGAGCGATCCACGGTGAGAGAGCGATCCACGGTGAGTGCGATCCATGGTGAGAGCGATCCATGGTGAGAGAGCGATCCATGGTGAGAGCGATCCATGGTGAGAGAGCGATCCATGGTGAGAGAGCGATCCACGGTGAGAGAGCAATCCATGGTGAGAGCGATACAGGGTGAGAGAGGGATCCATGGTGAGAGCGATCCATGGTGAGAGCGATCCATGGTGAGAGAGCGATCCATGGTGAGAGAGCGATCCATGGTGAGAGCGATCCATGGTGAGAGAGAGATCCATGGAATGAGAGAGATCCATGTGAGAGCGATCCATGGTGAGAGAGATCCATGGTGAGAGAGATCCATGGTGAGAGAGCGATCCATGGTGAGAGCGATCCATGGTGAGAGAGCGATCCATGGTGAGAGAGCGATCCATGGTGAGAGCGATCCATGGTGAGAGAGCGATCCATGGTGAGAGAGAGATCCATGGTGAGAGCGATCCATGGTGAGAGCGATCCATGGTGAGAGCGCGATCCATGGTGAGAGAGCGATCCATGGTGAGAGAGCGATCCATGGTGAGAGAGCGATCCATGGTGAGAGAGCGATCCATGGTGAGAGAGCAATCCATGGTGAGAGCGATCCATGGTGAGAGCGATCCATGGTGAGAGCAATCCATGGTGAGAGAGCGATCCATGGTGAGAGAGCGATCCATGGTGAGAGCAATCCATGGTGAGAGCAATCCATGGTGAGAGAGCGATCCATGGTGAGAGAGCGATCCATGGTGAGAGAGCGATCCATGGTGAGAGCAATCCATGGTGAGAGAGCGATCCATGGTGAGAGCGATCCATGGTGAGAGAGCGATCCATGGTGAGAGCGATCCATGGTGAGAGAGCGATCCATGGTGAGAGCAATCCATGGTGAGAGAGCGATCCATGGTGAGAGCGATCCATGGTGAGAGAGCGATCCATGGTGAGAGCGATCCATGGTGAGAGAGCGATCCATGGTGAGAGCGATCCATGGTGAGAGAGATCCATGGTGAGAGAGCGATCCATGGTGAGAGAGCGATCCATGGTGAGAGAGCGATCCATGGTGAGAGAGCGATCCATGGAGAGAGAGCGATCCATGGTGAGAGAGCGATCCATGGTGAGAGCGATCCATGGTGAGAGAGCGATCCATGGTGAGAGCGATCCATGGTGAGAGAGCGATCCATGGTGAGAGCGATCCATGGTGAGAGAGCGATCCATGGTGAGAGCGATCCATGGTGAGAGAGCGATCCATGGTGAGAGAGCGATCCACGGTGAGAGAGCGATCCATGGTGAGTGCGATCCATGGTGAGAGCGATCCATGGTGAGAGAGCGATCCACGGTGAGAGAGCGATCCACGGTGAGTGCGATCCATGGTGAGAGCGATCCATGGTGAGAGAGCGATCCATGGTGAGAGCGATCCATGGTGAGAGAGCGATCCATGGTGAGAGAGCGATCCACGGTGAGAGAGCAATCCATGGTGAGAGCGATACAGGGTGAGAGAGGGATCCATGGTGAGAGCGATCCATGGTGAGAGCGATCCATGGTGAGAGAGCGATCCATGGTGAGAGAGCGATCCATGGTGAGAGCGATCCATGGTGAGAGAGAGATCCATGGAATGAGAGAGATCCATGGTGAGAGCGATCCATGGTGAGAGAGATCCATGGTGAGAGAGATCCATGGTGAGAGAGCGATCCATGGTGAGAGCGATCCATGGTGAGAGAGCGATCCATGGTGAGAGAGCGATCCATGGTGAGAGCGATCCATGGTGAGAGAGCGATCCATGGTGAGAGAGAGATCCATGGTGAGAGCGATCCATGGTGAGAGCGATCCATGGTGAGAGCGCGATCCATGGTGAGAGAGCGATCCATGGTGAGAGAGCGATCCATGGTGAGAGAGCGATCCATGGTGAGAGAGCGATCCATGGTGAGAGCGATCCATGGTGAGAGCGATCCATGGTGAGAGCGATCCATGGTGAGAGCGATCCATGGTGAGAGAGAGATCCATGGTGAGAGAGCGATCCATGGTGAGAGCAATCCATGGTGAGAGAGCGATCCATGGTGAGAGCGATCCATGGTGAGAGCGATCCATGGTGAGAGAGAGATCCATGGTGAGAGAGCGATCCATGGTGAGAGCGATCCATGGTGAGAGAGCGATCCATGGTGAGAGAGAGATCCATGGTGAGAGCGATCCATGGTGAGAGCGATCCATGGTGAGAGCAATCCATGGTGAGAGCGATCCATGGTGAGAGAGCGATCCATGGTGAGAGCGATCCATGGTGAGAGCGATCCATGGTGAGAGAGCGATCCATGGTGAGAGAGCGATCCATGGTGAGAGCGATCCATGGTGAGAGCGATCCATGGTGAGAGCGATCCATGGTGAGAGAGAGATCCATGGTGAGAGAGCGATCCATGGTGAGAGCAATCCATGGTGAGAGAGCGATCCATGGTGAGAGCGATCCATGGTGAGAGAGCGATCCATGGTGAGAGAGCGATCCATGGTGAGAGCGATCCATGGTGAGAGAGAGATCCATGGTGAGAGAGCGAGCCATGGTGAGAGCGCGATCCATGGTGAGAGCGCAATCCACGGTGAGAGAGCGATCCACGGTGAGAGAGCGATCCACGGTGAGAGAGCGATCCACGGTGAGAGCGATCCACGGTGAGAGAGCGATCCACGGTGAGAGAGCGATCCATGGTGAGAGAGCGATCCATGGTGAGAGCGATCCATGGTGAGAGAGCGATCCATGGTGAGAGAGAGATCCATGGTGAGAGCGATCCATGGTGAGAGCGATCCATGGTGAGAGAGCGATCCATGGTGAGAGAGCGATCCATGGTGAGAGAGCGATCCATGGTGAGAGAGCGATCCATGGTGAGAGCGATCCATGGTGAGAGCGATCCATGGTGAGAGAGCGATCCATGGTGAGAGAGCGATCCATGGTGAGAGAGCGATCCATGGTGAGAGAGCGATCCATGGTGAGAGCGATCCATGGTGAGAGAGCGATCCATGGTGAGAGAGCGATCCATGGTGAGAGCAATCCATGGTGAGAGAGCGATCCATGGTGAGAGCGATCCATGGTGAGAGAGAGAGATCCATGGTGAGAGAGTGATCCATGGTGAGAGAGCGATCCATGGTGAGAGCGATCCATGGTGAGAGCGATCCATGGTGAGAGAGAGATCCATGGTGAGAGAGCGATCCATGGTGAGAGCAATCCATGGTGAGAGAGCGATCCATGGTGAGAGCGATCCATGGTGAGAGCGATCCATGGTGAGAGAGAGATCCATGGTGAGAGAGTGATCCATGGTGAGAGAGCGATCCATGGTGAGAGCGCGATCCATGGTGAGAGCGCGATCCACGGTGAGAGAGCGATCCACGGTGAGAGCGCGATCCATGGTGAGCGCGCGATCCACGGTGAGAGAGCGATCCACGGTGAGAGAGCGATCCATCCATGGTGAGAGAGCGATCCATGGTGAGAGCGATCCATGGTGAGAGAGCGATCCATGGTGAGAGAGAGATCCATGGTGAGAGCGATCCATGGTGAGAGCGATCCATGGTGAGAGAGCGATCCATGGTGAGAGAGCGATCCATGGTGAGTGCGATCCATGGTGAGAGCGATCCATGGTGAGAGAGCGATCCATGGTGAGAGCGATCCATGGTGAGAGAGCGATCCATGGTGAGAGAGCGATCCACGGTGAGAGAGCAATCCATGGTGAGAGCGATCCATGGTGAGAGCGATCCATGGTGAGAGCGATCCATGGTGAGAGAGCGATCCATGGTGAGAGAGCGATCCATGGTGAGTGCGATCCATGGTGAGAGCGATCCATGGTGAGAGAGCGATCCATGGTGAGAGCGATACAGGGTGAGAGAGGGATCCATGGTGAGAGCGATCCATGGTGAGAGAGCGATCCATGGTGAGAGCGATCCATGGTGAGAGAGCGATCCATGGTGAGAGAGCGATCCATGGTGAGAGCGATCCATGGTGAGAGAGAGATCCATGGAATGAGAGAGATCCATGGTGAGAGCGATCCATGGTGAGAGAGATCCATGGTGAGAGAGATCCATGGTGAGAGAGCGATCCATGGTGAGAGCGATCCATGGTGAGAGAGCGATCCATGGTGAGAGAGCGATCCATGGTGAGAGAGCGATCCATGGTGAGAGCGATCCATGGTGAGAGAGCGATCCATGGTGAGAGAGAGATCCATGGTGAGAGCGATCCATGGTGAGAGCGATCCATGGTGAGAGCAATCCATGGTGAGAGAGCGATCCATGGTGAGAGAGCGATCCATGGTGAGAGAGCGATCCATGGTGAGAGAGCGATCCATGGTGAGAGCGATCCATGGTGAGAGAGCGATCCATGGTGAGAGAGCAATCCATGGTGAGAGCGATCCATGGTGAGAGCGATCCATGGTGAGAGCGATCCATGGTGAGAGCGATCCATGGTGAGAGAGAGAGATCCATGGTGAGAGAGCGATCCATGGTGAGAGCAATCCATGGTGAGAGAGCGATCCATGGTGAGAGCGATCCATGGTGAGAGCGATCCATGGTGAGAGCGATCCATGGTGAGAGAGAGATCCATGGTGAGAGAGCGATCCATGGTGAGAGAGCGATCCATGGTGAGAGAGCGATCCATGGTGAGAGCGATCCATGGTGAGAGCGATCCATGGTGAGAGAGAGATCCATGGTGAGAGAGCGATCCATGGTGAGAGCAATCCATGGTGAGAGAGCGATCCATGGTGAGAGCGATCCATGGTGAGAGCGATCCATGGTGAGAGCGATCCATGGTGAGAGAGCGATCCATGGTGAGAGAGCGATCCACGGTGAGAGAGCGATCCACGGTGAGAGAGCGATCCACGGTGAGAGCGATCCATGGTGAGAGCGATCCATGGTGAGAGCGATCCATGGTGAGAGAGAGATCCATGGTGAGAGAGCGATCCATGGTGAGAGCAATCCATGGTGAGAGAGCGATCCATGGTGAGAGCGATCCATGGTGAGAGCGATCCATGGTGAGAGCGATCCATGGTGAGAGAGCGATCCATGGTGAGAGAGCGATCCATGGTGAGAGAGCGATCCATGGTGAGAGAGCGATCCATGGTGAGAGCGATCGTGGAGCGCCCATGGTGAGAGAGCGATCCATGGTGAGAGCGATCCATGGTGAGAGCGATCCATGGTGAGAGCGCGATCCATGGTGAGAGAGCGATCCACGGTGAGAGAGCGATCCACGGTGAGAGAGCGATCCACGGTGAGAGAGCTGAGAAATGAATGAATGAGAATGAAAAGTGGCGTACGAGCAGAGCGACCTGAGCCAGGCTGGATACATGTGTGTGTGTGTGTGTGTGTGTGTGTGTGTGTGTGTGTGTGTGTGTGTGTATGTGTGTGTGTGTGTGTGCGTGTGTGCGTGTGTGCACTTGTTTTCAACTCCTGGTGGGTTCCATAACCTGAGATTCCGCTCACGTCATGGGGACTGGTTTTACGTGGTGGGGCCCGAACACCGGACCCCACTGGTCCAAGCTTAATAATCAATGGGTAATGCTTTTCTAACGGTCCTTATGCAGTCTCTGTAAAAATATGGAAAGGACCCCTGGAGGTTTACTTTCCTGAAAAAAGTGTGTTATGTGTCGGAACCCTGGTGGTGGGTTGCGGGATATCAAGGAGGGGCACACTGGGGCAATTTCAGTCCAGCAGGCTGGAGCCAATCATGGAGCAGCACAACAGAGGCTGGAGCCAATCATGGAGCAGCACAACAGAGGCTGGAGCCAATCATGGAGCAGCACAACAGAGGAAATCAGGTGTCAGGCTAGAAAAGGTGCAAGTGTGTGGTTCATTAGGCTGCAGCCAATCACAGAGCAGCACACTGAAGCGCACGCTTACAAACCACTGGTAAGTGCTGACTACAAGTCATGACTTCAAATTGTTATATAGAATTATTACAAATTATTTGTTGTTTGTGCAGCTTAGTCAAGAGTCCCTAATTGATGAAGTCGACTCAGATTCTGACGATTTAACTGTCAAGAAAAAACCTGTAAAAAAGTATGGAAAAAGAAAAATCAAAAACACTTTTCTTCAAGACTCGGAAAGTGACGAACCAAAGGCAAATAAGATTGTTATCATGCAGCTGCAAAAGAAGAAAAATGGGGGGCGAGTTTACAGCAAGAGACACTTCTGCCTCTACTGTTCAATGTCCTGCCACAAAATGTCCCGTCATTTGACTAGAAAACATGGAAATGAAAGTGACGTAGCCAGAGCATTGGCTCTACCTGTGAAATCTAAAGCACGTAAACTTCAGTTTGATTTGATCAGGAATAGTGGAAACCGTGAGCACAATGTTGAGGTTTTAAAGGCCGGCATTGGAACTTTAGTCCCAGCTAAACAGCCAAATTCCCCAGTTAAATCCAGTGAGTTTTTGCACTGTATAGACTGTGGGGCATTGCTTAAGCGAAAGTGGCTGTGGAGGCATGTGGCCAGGTGCCGGCTTTCACAGAAAGATGCCCAGGCTAAACCAGGCTAAACCAGGCTAAACCAGGTAGAAGTAGGGTCCAGTCCCTCTGCTCCCTAGCCCAGCCTGTACCGGAGGGCATCAGCAAAAAGCTGTGGTCTTTAATTTGGGCAATGCATCAGGATGAGGTCACGGGTGTTGTCAAAGCAGAAAAGGGGATTCTGAGACTCGGAGAGCACCTGTACTTAAAACACGGGCATGATAAGACTAAGCATGATTACATTAGGCAGAAAATGAGAGAAGTCGGTAGGTTAATTAACGAAGCAAAAACCGCAGGAAAACTGAAAACAATGAAGGATTTCTTTATTCCTTCCAACTTTAACCATGTGATTGATGCAGTCAGGTCTGTGGCTGGATATGATGAGGAAACAAATCAATACAAGACTCCATCCTTGGCCCTCAAACTCGGCCATAGCCTCAGAAAGCTAGCAGATATTCTTGAATGTGACTCAAAAATGGAGCATTGTGTTGATGAACTATTTATTAAAAACCTCCAACGAAGCCGGCTGCTTTTTGAGAAGAGGTGGGACGTCTGTGTTTCTTCTGCTGCCCTACAGACCCTCCGGCAAGCCAAGTGGAACACTCCGGACCTGCTCCCTCTGACTGAGGACGTTAGAGCCATGCATGCACATATTGAGGTATGTCGACCTGAATATGTGCAAACCCTAATAAGTGAGCCAACGTCTAAGCATTGGTCTAAACTGGCCGTTTTGACTCTTTGTGAGGTCATCATTTTCAATCGAAGAAGGGAAGGTGAGGTTTCAAAGATGCCACTGACAGCCTTTACCTTAAGAAGTAAGACTGGGATCCATTCTGACATTGCTCTGGGACTGTCCCAACTTGAGAAAAAGCTGTGTCAGCATTTTCAACGCATTGAAATTAAAGGGAAAAGAAGTCGGAAAGTGCCGGTTCTTTTGACTCCTGAAATGATTGCATCCAGAGATGCTATCCTCAACCAAACTTAGAAAGCACATAGCTACTATGTCTACAGTTCTCAATATGAAAGAGAATGAGATGGACATACTTGCCAACTTCCTCGGCCATGACATTCGCATCCACAGGCAATATTACAGACTACCAGAGGGGACACTGGAGCTGGCCAAAATCAGCAAAGTGTTGATGGCCATGGAGCAGGGAAGAGTGACGGAATTCGAAGGAAAGAGCCTCGACCAGATACAAATTGAGCCTGAAGGTAATTCTTGATATTATTAAAATATGTATGATTTTTTTCCCCTAAAGGCCACTTGTATTTTTATTTTCTGTGCGACAGGGAGAGCAGTAGAGATCCTCTCACAAACGGACGGGCTAAAAGAAACTTCAAGCGGAGAACCTTCAACCATTCATCCAGATGCACCCCATGGTAGTGGCAGTGCCCCTTCTGGTAAGTGTACCAGGTGGGGGATTACAGCCAGGCTGCTTGGTCCTAACCCTGGGAGTGTATATTGCTAATATATTTTTATACTCCATGTATTTTTATTACATGGAGTGGCATTAAATTCTATGTCAAAAATAGAATCACTGCAATTCGAAAAAAAAATCAAAAATACAATTCCTTTAAAATAGTTGTTTGGTTTCTATTGACTGTTTTGTATTACTTAAAGTAGTCCCAGTAAAAAAAGATTATGTCTATGGGTCCCATTCTGAACGGCCCTGTCAAAGGGACCCACCAGGTAACAAAAACGTGTATGTGTGTGTCTGTGTGTGTATTCTGGTGATAAATAAAGACTTGAACGTCTGAAGTGTTTTTGCAACGAGGGTCAGGACAGAGGGAGTTATCCCTGGAGCGACACACTCACCACGGTCCGAGGCTTGAATGAAAGATTTAACACAAGCGGAGAATACGAAAGTGCAGGAGAGACGTGTGTGAACATGCACGTCACAACCAGTGGGGGCGGGTCCCGGCTCAAAAGTGGCCAAAATGACATGCGCTGACATGCTGCAGTACCACCCTGGGCCTGTGGGGGTGGACCTGGAATAAGAATTAGCCAATGCTAACATATAGCATTGGCAGACCTCTGGAAAACGTCTTTACAGGATGGTCCAAAAGTTGTCTCTTGGTCCAAAGCTCCGTTCCACATGTGTGTCAATCCAATCCAATCCACTTTATTTATATAGCACATTTTATAAAACAAGTTTCCAAAGTGCTGCACAGAGATAAAATCACATTTAAATATGCGCAAAGTAAAAACAATACAAATTTAATAAAAACAATAAAATACCAGTAAACTATAAACATGTGATAAAGACAATAAAATACTAGTTATCCGATTTAAAAAGAATAAATAAATAAAAACAATAAAACAAATAAAACAAAATAAAGATAAAAATAGGACCACACAACTCACGCGGTGTTAAAGGCCAGAGAGTAAAAATGCGTCTTAAGACGAGACTTAAAACATTCCACAGAGGGAGCAGTTTTGACGTGTGGGGGCAGAGCGTTCCAGAGCTTTGGTCCCCCCCCCCCAAAGAAGGCCCTGTCCCCCCACAGAGAAGGCCCTGTCCCCCCCACAGAGAAGGCCCTGTCCCCCCCACAGAGAAGGCCCTGTCCCCCCACAGAGAAGGCCCTGTCCCCCCCACAGAGAAGGCCCTGTCCCCCCCACAGAGAAGGCCCTGTCCCCCCCACAGAGAAGGCCCTGTCCCCCCACAGAGAAGGCCCTGTCCCCCCCACAGAGAAGGCCCTGTCCCCCCACAGAGAAGGCCCTGTCCCCCCCACAGAGAAGGCCCTGTCCCCCCACAGAGAAGGCCCTGTCCCCCCCACAGAGAAGGCCCTGTCCCCCCACAGAGAAGGCCCTGTCCCCCCACAGAGAAGGCCCTGACCCCCCACAGAGAAGGCCCTGTCCCCCCACAGAGAAGGCCCTGACCCCCCACAGAGAAGGCCCGTCCCCCCCCAGAGAAGGCCCTGTCCCCCCACAGAGAAGGCCCTGTCCCCCCACAGAGAAGGCCCTGTCCCCCCACAGAGAAGGCCCTGACCCCCCACAGAGAAGGCCCTGTCCCCCCACAGAGAAGGCCCGTCCCCCCACAGAGAAGGCCTTGTCCCCCCACAGAGAAGGCCCTGTCCTCCCCACAGAGAAGGCCCTGTCCCCCCACAGAGAAGGCCCTGTCCCCCCCACAGAGAAGGCCCTGTCCCCCCACAGAGAAGGCCCGTCCCCCCACAGAGAAGGCCTTGTCCCCCCACAGAGAAGGCCCTGTCCTCCCCACAGAGAAGGCCCTGTCCTCCCCACAGAGAAGGCCCTGTCCCCCCACAGAGAAGGCCCTGTCCCCCCACAGAGAAGGCCTTGTCCCCCCACAGAGAAGGCCCTGTCCCCCCCACAGAGAAGGCCTTGTCCCCCCACAGAGAAGGCCCTGTCCCCCCCACAGAGAAGGCCCTGACCCCCCACAGAGAAGGCCCTGTCCCCCCCACAGAGAAGGCCCTGACCCCCCACAGAGAAGGCCCTGTCCCCCCCACAGAGAAGGCCCTGTTCCCCCCACAGAGAAGGCCCTGTCCCCCCACAGAGAAGGCCCTGTTCCCCCACAGAGAAGGCCCTGTCCCCCCCCAGAGAAGGCCCTGACCCCCCCACAGAGAAGGCCCTGTCCCCCCACAGAGAAGGCCCTGTCCCCGGGTTTTAAGCCTCGCCTTAGGCACCACGAGCTGGAGCTGGCCC